GTGTGCAGAACGCAGCCGCCAGACTCCTCACCTTCACCAAATCATGGCATCACATCACCCCGGTCCTCAAAGAACTCCACTGGCTTCCCGTTTCTCACCGCATCCACTACAAACTCCTGGTCCTCAAACAAAGCCCTCCCCCATATGGCCCCCCCCCCTACCTCACTGACCTCCTCATCCTCTACCAACCCCCCCGGTCCATCAGATCCACCTCAGCCGGTTTGCTTTCCACCCCCAAGGCCAAACTCCGGAGCTTCGGGGATAGAGCCTTCTCTTGCGGCTTTCACACCAGCGCTTTTCCCTTTCTAGCTCCGAGCGGGAGCTTTTCTGGTTCAGCTCCGGTTTCCCTTTTCTGCTCCCGCTCTGTTCACACCGCCCAGAGCCCGACTGGTGCTGCCGCTGCTGCGTCATGACGTCACCGTCAACGGCGTTCACAACAACAACAACAACGGGGAACTGCGTCGGGTCGATGATGGTGTTGCTTTTAATCACACGAAGCCAGATTAAATTAAATAACGACTTCTCCAACCTTATACTTTTCTCCAGAGTGCCGTGGTTCATTGTTTATTAATGTGTTTCTGCGGCATTTACCGAGCCGGAGACAAAAACGCGTTGGTGTGAAAGGGGCATAAGTGGCAGCCCCGAAGCTCTGGAACTCCCTCTCCCATGACCTCCGTGAGTCTGAGTCCCTCACCCTGTTCCAGTCCCGCCTGAAGACTCATCTCTTCAACACTGTATATCCATAAGCCCCTCCCCCCCCCCCCCCCCCCCCCCCCCCCCCCCTCAATCAACTTCATAATAAGTTGCTAATAAGGCCTAATAAGCATAATAAGGCCCCTATAAAAGTGAGTAAGGACAGAAAGAAATGTTCTGAAGATTTTTAAATAACCAATCATTTCTACAGTCCTCGAGACGCTTTATTTCCGAGATAAGTTACTCAGCAGGTGGTTTATCACAGTTTTAATGTCACGTAGAGATGTCAAACATGGAGCTGCTGAGAGGTGAATGTCAACCTTTCTAGAAGACTTTGAAGTGAACATCCAACAAGGACCAAACCACACACTGATATATGCGGTTCTCTTTTCTGTTGTGTTTTCATGAGACAATATGCTGGGCCATGACTCGCCTCAGACGTAGCTTTTGTCACGCATTTTTTTCTGAAGTTGCACAGATAGGCATGACTTCTTGTGACTGTTTACATCCCAGATTGGTGAGAGGCAGCCTTTGTTTTTCCCTGCCACACAGCCACTCCTTTCAGTATCTGAGCGAGTCACACAGCTCCTCTCACAGCTGACCCCATGTACTTGTAATGCAGCCCCATTAATGAGACACGTAAAATGTCCTTTATGGGAAACAACAACAGTAAAACGGCTTACACTGTGCCCACTGTTGTTTTACTTGGTTGAACAACAAATTGGATAACTAGCGACCTCGCCCGTCCTCTGTCAGAAATCTTTCCACAGAGCTGTTGGGCACAGATAGCTGCTTTACTTGATCTAAATAGGCATCGGCCACAGGCTCATCACTTCACGCACCTCTTCCTATAGATTCTGCCATTTTGAACACATTACGTCATGTCTCGATGCGTGACGTGCAACGTGACTCACAGTTATGGTCAAAAACAAAGACTGCATCAGGACAGGGAAAATGACAGTGGAAATGTGTTTCTGTATTGACGGAAACAACATGCTAAAATGAAAATTCCAATGAAATGGGCTCGGATTTGTGGACTTAAGAAGATGCCTTCTTCTATAGAAGCAGGGCTTATTGAGAGACAACAGATGCTCCTGGTTTCCTGTGGAGTGGGATGAAACCAGAGCTTTTGTTACTGAAGATCTGAAGAGCTGCAGTGTGTTTCTTAAGTGTGAATAAAATGTAAATGTCTTGCGCCACCAACCATGGTGAGGTTTAATTTTAGACCAATCACTGGCTCACCATGTGCATATACCCCTGCAGCTGCTAATGCATATATTTTATTCTCTTTCTGTCCTTCTAGTTCACTGTCACTCTCTCCTACTCTCAATCTATATTATTTTGAGTTGTAGGCATTCTAGCCTTATCTCCCTTTTAAGCTTGCACTATTTTTACTGTTTACAGCAAGCCCGTCAAGCTCCAGAAAAAGCACTTCACAGTTCTTTGCAATCCTGCAACTAACTAAGCAGATCAACACCTCCGCTGTTTACAAAACGAGTCCTGATCCAGGCAGTCTGCCACACTGGCGTGACCTGCAATTAAACACAGACTCAGTGGATTATATTTCATAACAGGAAAAGCATGGAAACACAGTTATGACGTATTGCCTCTAAATAGCAACTCAAACGCAATCATCCACAATCCACAGCCCCAGTTTCTATTGTCCCACTGAAAGTAATCATCCTGCCAAGGTTTTCATTTGGATGCTGAATAATTGATTCGGCACACGCCCACAGTTTGTGCAGCCATTGCGTTCCTTTACATCACAAATCCTACCCAAGATTTCATAGTGCATAGGGTTATTTGATGCACTAGCTGGGCAGAGTTGACAGAATCTATAACTATTCTAATAACTCAGAGATAACGCCACAATATTGAATGAACGGTAATAAATCTGGATATGACTATTGGTTCTATTTTGAGAAAATACACAAAAGAATATTGAGAAAGTAGCCCAAGCACAGTTAGACCCAATTCTGACAGATTGCATGATAATTAGACATAATCTTAACTTCAGTCACCCTGAAGTGAGTAGAAGCAGGCGGCAGCATGATTAGCTATTCACTAACAAGCAGCAATATTATATTAATAATGCCCGAAGAACAAATGTAAAGCCATAGAAACCAATTCCAATTATATGCTTCGAAAACCTGATTGAGAAATAATTGGAAGTCCTATTTTAAGCTCCCGCACCAAATATAATAATAGCTTTTTTTTATAGGATACAAGTATTTTTATAAGAGGCCCTATTATGTCTTTTGGGGTTTTCCCTTTCCTGTAGTGGGTTTTATAGGTTTGTGTGCATGTTAATGGTCTGCAAAGGCTAACATCCCAATCATCAATATGTAACACATCGTGCTAATAATGGCTAGCGCTCCTATGCACGTTCTTTTTCTGCGGATTATACATGATCAGAGCTGATAGCTAGGTCCCTTGGGTATTAGTCATATTGCCACACAGCCCCCAGATCTTTAACAGTAAAACAATAATCTATGAGTCAAAAGCCTTACAAATGTGCACTGAAAATGTTCAAACCAAAAAAAGAGGATATTTAAACGACAGGAACATACAGAAGGATTGGTCGTGTCTCAGCTCATTTGACAACATCCGAAGTAAATCGATATTTGTAAGACCATCCCAGCAGTATCGTCCTCACTATAGTGATATCCACACCTGAAGCAGCTCTGATTACCCCCCCCCCCTCTCGATTTCTGCCAGGCAGTCCTGAGCCCCGGAAATAGCAACACTCGTGTATGACTCATGTTGGAGCTCTCCGAGATGCCTGATGAGAAAGACAATAACAAAGGGACTCATTAGTCTTGTGCATCACCACCTTCAAAAGAAAACCGTTTAAGTGAGACATCTGAGGCCATGGCTTCAACATATGTCGAACATAAATCCTTCACCTAAACTCAAATACCTCCTCCGATCAAATCCTTCCTTGGCCCCCACACCCTACACCTCAACCAACTGTCTTGTACATTGTTTTTCAAGACCCCTCGCACATGCTCCTTGTTTTCAGCCCCGAGTCAAAGACCAGGATCTCAAGATCTTCTCCCTTCCCAAGAGTACCCTTCCAGTCTTTTTTTACATTACATTACATTACATTGCATTTAGCTGACGCTTTTATCCAAAGCGACTTACAATAAGTACATTCGACCAGGAAGACACAACCTTGAAGAAAACAGAATCATATAAGTACATCAGGTTTCATAGAGCCAAACATTTCAAGTGCTACTCAACTGGCTTTAGGTAAGCCAGTCCTTTATTAGTATAAAAGTGCTTCGTTAATAATTCTATCGCTCGAAGTGGAGTCGAAAGAGATGAGTTTTCAGTTTGCGCCGGAAGATGTGCAAGCTATCTGCCGTCCTGATGTCATCTCCCATCCTATCTTTTGCTTCTGGCTTTCATCTAGTTGCTTCGATATTCCATCCACCCTCTTGCCTTCATCTCCATACATTCTCCCAGCCTCGCCCAGCCCCCCATCTTCTTCATTCACCTTCCTCCATCGTCATCCGTCAACATCCACCCTGTTTAAGTTATCCTCTGTCCCCCACAAAGCCCATTATTTCCCATATTTATTTTACTCAGATAAAATATGAATGCTATGACTTCCTAGATTCTCCCAACTATCTATCCTGGACCTTTGTTCTCCGCCCCTTCTCCTGCCTTCGTTCCCTTTTAAGTCCTTCCTTCAAAAGTAGTTAATTCTGAGTTTCTTGATGCCTAAACAATTAGAGCTACCACTCCAACTCCACATCTCCACTCTCTACTACCCAATACTACTTTCCCCCATTAGCCAACCAACACATAGAACTGAACCCTCCATTCGCCCCCCCCCCCCTTTCCTGCTTCTCAGTTATTAGCTTTAGCACCCCCCCCGCTTCCCAATTGAATCCGTCCTCCTCCTCCTCCTCTCGGGCTGGCTTCCAGAGCGGCTGTGCCCTGATGGAGGTCAGCCTTGTCTCTGTCTGCCGTGAGAGACAACAGGGGGAGGAAGGCAGGCAAGGTGAACGGCTCTCAACGGCTGTCATTGCACTGTAAGGAGGAAGCAGGAGGAGAGAGAGAAGGACTGTGTGATGTAGGGAGAGCGAGAGCAGCAGTGTAGGAGCAGAGCGAGAGAGAGGGTGAGCAAGCGAGAGAGAAATTGGTCCGGCGCACACAGCTCACATCGCTGGCTGGCTGGCTGGCTCGCACACTGTTGACGAATGAGCTGTCTACCCACGGGGCTGGGAAACGGCAGCTTGTGACAAGCTGGGGAGAGAGGAACATGAATGTAATGCGTACCTTGCCTCGCTTGCTTTCAGATACCGGCCAGAAGAAGACTCCAGAGAAGAAGGATGGGAGGCGTATGTCGTTCCAGAGACCCAAAGGGTCCATTGAATATTCTGTGAGTACGGCGCAAGCCACTAAGCTGTTTCTGTGTAATTGTCTTCATGTGTTTTTAATGCTTTTCTGCTACTGTGCTGCTGCTTCTGCTTCTGTGTCAGCTGCTGCTGATGGTGTTTCTCTAGCTCCAGTAATAGTCTAGCTGTTGTTGTTGTGAAGACACCGTGTCCGACCATGCTTGGTAGCTCATTGGCGAGGGGGAGAAGCATTTTGTGGATTTTGCCAGTCTAACACGTGTACCTCTTCCTCCCAGTGTTTACATGAGGAGGACCCTGTGTTTGTGTGCATGCAAGGTAGTTCATAGAAAGCTTATGGAAATAATGCATCCTCTCTTCAAGAGACACTGTGCATTAGTATAAGACTCAGCTTCATTTAGCATGTTAACGTATAAGAAGGAGAGAGGAACTGTAGCAGCTCCGTATGTTTCCTCACGCTGGATCAGATCAGGACAGACAGGCAGGAGTGCTGGCACAAAGTGTGTTTGTTTGCCTTTCCTTCTCTGAGCCACGTATCGGAGAGCATTCCACCACAGTGCTCGCCGTGCTCGCGAATGACCTTCCAACTGCGTTGTCATTTCTATTGATTTAGCTGTTGTGTTGGAGAAGGGGGGAACTGGGGTGAGGCGATTGAGAGGGAGAGGGAGAACGAGAGATAGGGCACTGGTTCCCTAGCGGGAGCTGAAAATGGAGCCTGTCTCTGCTTCGCCTGGTTGTGTTCTTCAAATGACCCTCAAATCCAGCTGCAGCAGTCAGACTGCTTTCCTTCGCCTCTCTCTCCGTGGCAACAGCGGGGAGTGGGATTGCTGTGGCTCATCTCTGTCTGTCTATCTGTCAGTCTGTCTGTCTGTCTGTCTGTCTGTCTGTCTGTCTGTCTGTCTGTCTGTCTGCTGGAAAGAGAGGTGAAGGGAGAGAACAGAGGAAGGGACAGCAGTGACATTCCACTCCTTTTATCCCAAACTCCAGGAAACACTGAAGGCTTCTCTGTTATCGCCTCAGCAACATAGACATCACCTCCACGTCCCCCGCCCCCCCAAGCTGTCAGTCATCCCAGACCTGCTGATTGACAAGGTTCTTGTTTACCTGACCTGGGCTTGAACAACCAAAACCATTACCACAGGACATTTGTCAGAGCCAAAGCACTGCGTCATGGCCTTGATATGACCTGATACAGAAAAAAGTCAGCAGGATGGACAGAAACGCTGAAGTTTATGAAAAACAGGGAAGAATTCTATTGTTAAAAATGGGGAAAAGATTCACATCTCAATCTCACAGCATCCCATACTGTTCCTGTCAGCCATAATTCTTCCTCGCTCTTTCCTCCACTAGTTTGCTGCTAGTGTGATGGATGGGTCGAGCACTGCCAATGATTGTCTCCTGTAGCCTGACATGCTACAACAACACGTAGCGAGGAGGCTTGAGGCCGTGAGAGACACATGGTCGCCACTGTCCCAGTGATTGAGAAGTGGCTTTATCTTAAACTCATCTCCCATGCCAGGGGACGGCCGGCGATGTTTCCTTATTTCTCTCTCCAGCAGTTTTAATCTATCGCCCAGCGCCCACAGGAAAAAAAATGTTTTACTTCTAACGCTGCCTTATCAATACAATCTCCCTCCCCCTTCTCACCCCTCTACCACACACACAGGCTTCTTTCTCTCTCCCTTTTTTTTTCTTCTCGAAAACGAGAAATAACCTGAGCAGCTGCAACCCATCTGCCTAGACACTGATAACGCCAGTCCATTCAGCAGAGTCCAGCTATTGGCTGACCTGCATCCAATTAAAGAAGTGTTTGAAGACTGTGGGAACAACGGAGATAGATGAGGAGACAGAAAGATGAAGACAGAGAGAGCCAAAGAGCGGCACAGAGGTGAGCCACGTCCTCCCACCGACAGACTGAGAGGACGGACAATCAAAGTCAAACTAATTGAAGAACTGAGAGTGAAGGCCACACAGGTTTATCTACAAACCAGGGACAGAGACACTTCAGTTGTAACTCTGGGGATCCACAGGGTGTTTTGACTAGAAGATACCTGTCAAGGGAATATCCGGTCTATTCAAACTTGTGTTTCTGTACGGCTTCTGTAGGACATTATTGCTTTCTGTTTCATAGCTTGGGCTATCATTTTGGTAGGCCTGATCTTAGTGGCCCTGGGATCGGAAGACACTGACCATATAATGTCTGAATCCCCAGCCACCTCTCTACTGCTTGCTATATAACAAGGCATCTACTCTATGCCCACGAGTAACAGTCAGTTTGTTTTTATATCCAATGGCCAAAACCAGAAAGATGACCTCTACATCGAAAAAATTGAATTGTTCCTATATGTTATTTCTAGGGCTGACGTGATAATAATAATAATAGATGAAATTTGTATAGCGCCTTTCAAGGGACCCAAGGCCGCTTTACATGGTGAACAAACAAACAAACAAAAGGGACAAATAATAAAGTAAAAAATTAATTAAATAGCAGTAGGATAACGTAATGATAATGTATTATTTTCATTATTACATTGAATAATAATTTAATCAAGATAAAAAAAATGTATGCTTCATTAAAAAGCAATATTAAAAATGCAAATAAAGAAAATACGGCAGATCAACAAATTGTTTCCTTTTAAGGAAAACCTTTTTATCTTAGTAAAGTTGTGTCAATTTGTGTCAACACATTTAGTGCCATTTCACATTCCATACATTTCAAGGCTTCAGACTGCCATTTCACAAATGTCCCGATGTCAACCATAAAAAAGCCTCATGCAGAGAGTTATGTCTCTATGGTTTTTAAAATCTAATTTCTCAGGGAATTATTTCAGCCCTGTTTGAGTCATGTTTAATTTTTGGCTCGACCCTCCCTACCCACAGTCTGTTTTCAGTCCTTTGCAGTGCTCTCAGCAGAACTGGCACGGCAAAGCTCTCATTACAATTTGTATAGTCAAACAAGAGTGCCGATTTAGGGGAAAGTCTGGATTCCTGTTGAAGGCCTGAAAGAAAGGAAGAGGTTGTCAGCATTCATGATGTTATCATTCTGGCCCACAACATGATCAGTCAGATTGCATTATCAACTATGTGTGTTCTCGCAAGTTGTGGTAAAACAGTGGCCATGGCACTCAGTCAATTGCCGTAAACTGCGTATTCACTATGACAACATGTAGGTTGGGATATCAACCACCAGATTCATGGCGATTACATTTTTTAAAGCCATTCATGATATCCAGAGGATGAACCCTAATGACTTTGGGAATCCACTGACTTCCTGTAGCGCCACCAGCAGGTCAAGGCTGTCACTTGTCTTGTGTTATGTCTAATTTCCTACCGGATAGATCTGTTTACACATTCATGGTTCCCAGAGGATGCATCTTGAAGACTTTAGTGAGCCCCATTGACAGTTATTTTAGCAAAACCCTCAGGATGGCATTTGTTTTCTTTTATGTCAATTACATTTAAATGGATCGGATAATTTTGTACAGAGATCAAAACATTTATTAGGATGAATTGTAATAAATGACTGCCAATAATGTCTCATGAAGTGCCATCATCACAACACATTACTGTATAATGCAAAAACTTGCAAAACCAAGGGTATTACCGCCAGCTTTATTTTTATGGTAATCAACATGCAAACCTACTTAACACCAGAATGTTAGCATTGTCATTTCAAGCATGTTGGCATACTAAAATAATAAATTGCCTCCCAAGATAGCTGTGCCCAAGAACAGCCTCACAGCACGGCTAAACCCCCCCTGTGTGTGATATACACATGATCCGGATGTGTTATAATCTCAGCAGATGTGAAGACGATCTCTCACTGTCACCAGTCTGCAGGTTAAATGGATATCTGCTGTGCTTAGAGGAAAACTGTTGGCAACAGAGGCCTTGCATGGACATTAGATGAGTCATATGTCGAGTGCCAGGTGTGTGTGTTCACTGAGAGAGACACGCACCTTTTAACTCCACAGCATCCTGACAATCAGTCACTCTTGATTGCATTATTCACTGCTGGGTGGGAGAGGAGATCCCACAGTCTCAGCTCCTTCACAGCTCCCTGTCTGAGAGTAGGAGAACTAGTCAAATGGATGATGGAGAAATGATAGGAGGGGTGTGTGGATGGTGACGTTGGGATAGATTGGGGGAGGGGGTGGGGGGATAGAGGGCAGTGTGTGAGGAGAAGATGGAGACGGATGGAGAGTGGGTAGCTGGATGGGCACAAGAGCAGACTAATATATGGAGCCTGTGATTCTTTTTTTAAATTAACCAAAGGGGAAAGCCACAAATACATTGTGTCTTTTCATATTGAAGAATTTATTGCTGGCCATAGGCAGTATATGACTCGCTTCATTCCTACACATTGTGACTGTTACGTAACAGTGACATATTGTTTCGTTCATAACGTAACAGTGACATATTGTGTCGTTCATGTTTTTTGTGCTTCTAATGTGAGGCATGTTTCCATGCTTTGATGTTAAAAAAGGCATTTTGCTCATACTGCCTGTGCTGCAGCACCTCTTTTCACCCTCTGTCTGAAACCAGAGCCTAGTTCGCTCTGATTGTTTTGCTGGCTCTGTTGTGATTGGTCAGACGCTTACAGATGAGTTGGAAATGTCCCGCCCCTAAGCCTATCAAGCGCATGTATGTGTTGGAGCACTAGCCAATAGAAGTGCGAGTGTTCAATAGTGATGTCATTATGTAACTTTATGGTCATGTAGATTCAGATAAAGTTTAGGTTTACTGAAATATTTGTTGGTGGTACACCAATAAGCCTTGAAGAAAGAAGAGTACTTGACTTGGGCACAAGAGGGTGGGTTCAAGTCCCTGAACGCAACAATCACAGTGTGTGGAGTGTGGACTTTTACTTTGAGAGGTGCCAGTTTGCCTCCTGCCAAGGTTGTATTTTGGCAATGCTCCCCCAAGTTGTATATTTGCTGCCCACTGCTCTCAATACTACAATTAGACTAGGTTTTACTCTGTGTAACATGTGAGACAAAGTTTATTCAATTCAAGTTCATTCCAT